TGCAGCAGAATAGATTTCTGTTGTGCAGTTCACATGTTCTGCAAGCTTGAAAATGCTGCCCAGAGTGAGTTGCTATGAGAATTCAACTCAGAAGTTCAAGATAATAGCAGTGCAGGTTGTATTCTCTGTTTGCAGATTTGTGAGGTTTTGGGATTCTCAGTTTGCAGATTTGTGCTGTTTGGGATCAGGCTTACATAGGAACCTTTTTTAGAGTCAAGATCTTGCTGCAATTCAAATCAGATGAAGTTGCAGGCAGCACTAATGATCAAACCCAAGTATCATTTTCCTGTTTAAAATCATTACATTTTGTTTTCTGCTTACATTTCTGCTTTAGATACTTTGGCTGCAGTTTTTTTCATTTCTTCTCAGCCTGAAGGAAATTTATTTTCTTAGCCTGTGAGCTTGTATATAGCTGAAAATTAACTTAGGAGAAATTATTATGCTGGTGTTCTTTGCTTTTCATTCCCTCCCCCTATTCTGCCAAGTGGGAGTTTTATTATTTTTATTATTATTATTGTTATTTTAAATCAAGATTTAACACAGCTCAGTGTATGCCTCTGCTGTTTGGGTTTTTTTGAGCTCAGTTTACACGGACTTGCTTGGGGATGAGAACCAGAATAGAGGCAGTCATTCAGAGCAAGATGCAGGCTGACAGGGAAGGTAATTGTCAGATGTATGTGAGAATGTGTTCTGGCAGTTACGCTTTTTAACTTCTTGGTCATGACAAAAGCTTTGCTGTGTCTCAAGGTCTTAAATGTTTGTATTGAGCAAAACAGAGGAACCTGGGGAGGCAGTTCAGATTAATTAGACACGTTAGAATTGTTTTCTCAGTGCTTAAAGTTGTTGCTTGAGAGATATTTACATTAGAAATTCCTTCCCTGACAGGTACAAATAAACATTTATTATAGGTGATGGTAAAGAGAGATGCCCCTGCAAGCTCTGGCATTTCATCTTATACACAGAGCAAAGGCGTGGGGGTCCAGGGTTGTAATCCCTAGGTCTGAAAAATGTTTCTTTGTTAAAACCCTGGAATTCCTGTCTTCTTCTGGACACAGCTCTCAGGGAATCTCTGTGGTGCTGTAGGTGTGTTTATTGCTTTGCAGATGCAGAAGCTGGAGTTGCTCAAGTGACCCAAGCTGGTAGACAGTGGAGTGAAATTCTCTTTTGTCTGATTTCAAGGCATATCTTTTAATGCCATTACTTACCAGTAAGCACTATGGATTTTGGTCTGCTTGAGTGTAAGGTTCTGAAAAGCTCGGGCAGGTATCATCCTGCTTCAGATGGGGCAGAGAGGATTGATCCCACACCTTGGTGTCAGTGCTGTCTGCCACAGCTCCAGTGTTGAGTTTGGCAGGTCTCAGTTAAATATACTGTCTTGTCATTTACCAAGAGCAAATTTTGTAGCTCCAGTTTTTTGTGGTGGAAAATAAATGAATAAAAACATGGAGATTTCTAATTTGATTTTACAGCTGCTGCTGCTTGCACGAGGCTTTCATAGACCAAGTCCTTTAAAAGCATCCAGGAGGCAGTTCCAGCCTGGATTCTGCAAGGGTCAGCTGCTTATTCTGAGTGACAGAACTAAGCTTTGTTGGAGCTTAGTTTGGAGCTCTTTTTGGTGGTTTTATTAGGACTTGGCCAAGAATTTCAGTTCATCTTGTCCTGGTGCAGATTTTAGGGAGCATGTCTTCAAAGCAGAATTAGTTTAGGAAGTATGCCCCCACTACTGAGCCATACTTGTGACAAACTTCAGCTAGTGCTGTGATAGCCTAGCAAGTAGGCAAGGTTTTTTGTTGGTTTTTTGGTGGTTTTTTTTTATTCATATGAACTCTTTTCAAGTGGACTTTTAAGGCCATCAGAGCAAGTATCAGCATTAGAGTAACTACAGCGCATGATTTGGTCTGCCATATATCAGCTTTTGCTAACAAGTTCATCCCCAGCAATTAGTAAAGCAATAGTGACTCTTGAGATATTTTACTAATTACTGCCTCTCAGACCTTTTGAAAAAGGTTGCCACACTCTTCTGGCAAAGAAAACCCAATTCCAGTGTATAAAAGAGGAGAGGGAAAAAAGCAACGCGAGAATTTTTCACTCCTTGCCTTACTGAAGGATTCACATTATGTAGCATTACACTCTGTTGTTTATATAGCCTGCTTTGTTTTCATTTGGGGATGTTCAAAGGGGACTTCAGTGTTGTAGTGAAATGTGCATGAACAGCTGACTGGGAGTTCAAAAGCATTTGTGTAGATTGAAAGTTGGTTTATTTTCCTTGTGCCAAGAATCAGTTTTGTTTTATTTAGATGAAACTAGATTATGGCATTGAAAACCCAACTGTATTAACATTCTTATATAAAGCAAGTTGGGAAGTGATGTTACAGTTCAACTAATTGTTAATTATACAAATATTTTCGCTGCATATTTTCTTAAGACTTCGGGAATGTTTTGTGATGCAGTAGATTTGGAGAGTTTTTATTCTGAGGGGAAAATAAGTAGTAAATGAGTTAGGAATGAAGATACTAAATAAGGTGTTTTCTTCAATTGTAGGCATGCTTAAAATTGATTAAAAATTTGCTTTCAAGCATTTAATCTTCATCTTTGAGGCATGGACATGCTACCTCTGTCTTTTTCCTTTGAGCTTCTTGTAAAACTCTATTCAGGCCTTTGTGGTGCCTTACATAATGGGTAATGCTGTGGAGGATCAGCATCCCTCTTTTGTTAAAGTCCTGCTTTTGTCCTGTTGTTCACTTGACATAGCCAGAAAGAAGGGCTAATGGTTGCTGAATAGTAGCTTGTGATGAATTTGAGGATTGAGCTTCTCAAACCCTGAGCCTGCAACTGTGCTGATAATAATCTGCTCCTTCTGTGCTGTTTATAAACTAAAACAAAATAAGAAAAAAAAATTCCTGTTCTGCACATCTGGAAAAAAAAAGAAATTCTGTTGGGTTTATTCTTGAAAACAAAAAATGTAGATTGTTTTGCAAGAAATATGGGATGTTTCCTTTTTAAGTATTTCAGATTCAACTTTCTTAAATTTCACTGCTCAAATGTTGATTTATCAGAGATCTGGGATTAAAAAAGAATTTTGTGATTTTTGTGATTTTTTTTTTTCTTAAACTACTCTCTACTCTGCAAAGGCAAACAGGTACAACTGCAATACAGTTAAAAGGGAGGAAAACAGTAGTTACCCTCTCTTTGCATCCCAGAACAGACTACCTTTGTTTGCACTATCATAACAATATAGATGAATTTCATGTGAAAATGTTAAGGTCTGCTAGGGACCTGCCTTATCTGTAGCTGTTTAATTCCAGGTAATCGATTGCCCCTTCTGAGATGATTTTGGGTTTAACTGGGTGTTTTAAGTGGGTGTAACACTTGAAGTAAACTGCTGTAAGAGTGGTGAGTGGTTAGGAGGCACTACCCGTGGGAAAAGGGGAATTGTTGGATGGGAGTAGCCATTAATGAGAGCATCTGTGAAGGCACAAAAGCAAGCCCTAAACCAAAAACCAGTGAAAACATCTTGAGGAACTGTAGAGTTTCTCTTTATTTGAGCTGGGCTCTGGCAAATTCCTTTTGGGAAGAAAAGTTTTAAGACACCCTATTTTTGTGAGGGCAGTGTTTGATGAAGAACTGCAGAAGTCACATGTAGCATTTCTGCTTTGATTACCTGATAAAAATACATGCCTTTGTTTGGCAGATATTTTGCACTCAGATAACTTCTGATGGTGTGATAGGACATGTTTTATTTACAGTAATGGACTCACATTCTTCATTTCTCTTTTCTCCTGTAATCAAATTCTGTATGCTGCTCTATCCCAAATCTTGATTCTCACAGGCTTCAGCTTAAACATGCAGTGGTTTCACATGCTAGATTCATGACAGAGAAAAGGTGTGGACAGATGTCTTAAGGTGATCATACATTTACTGCAGGTTTTGCATCCAGTAGGCAAATCCTGTCCACAGAGGATGCTGAGGTCCCTTCTTTGGAGCAGGGGAGTGGGGAAAGCCTCCCTGGGGTACCAGTGTTAACTTTATTTTCAGAGACCCTGCAGAATTAAATGACTGCTTCCAGTGCAATTCCTAATTCCATTTTGGTAGGACAATTTTTTGCTTGCCTGCTGGACACTGAGCCATGTTGTTCCTCAGAAATGTTTCGCTGCTCGGGCATAAACACTGAAATAATCCTGCCTCAGTGCATTGAGCAGCTTTCGGTGTTTTCCTGCGGAAAGGATGCAGGCAGAGCTTCCAGCTGCTGTTTGAAAGTGCTGCCACAGGATGGGAGTGTTGCACTGCCCAAACCTGATCTGTCACCTCCAGAACCACGACCAAGCGCTGGTTCCAGCGCTAACCTGAAACCGACTCCCGACCCTTCTCTTTGTTACTCGCCAGCCCGTGCAGTGGGCCCCGCGTTTATACACTTCCAAGAGGTAGGAAATTTGGAGTAAGGTGTTGTTGGCTTGCTAAGAGTAGCTCAACTTTGTTTCTTTTAGAGGCAGCTTTGTACCATATGACAAGCCCAGGTAGTGAGGTAATAATTCACATAAAGGGGATTTGGTTCACGTATCACCGAATATGTTAAATATTAAATTTGGGGGGGGGGGGGTTAAGCCTTTATTAAATCCATATTTGTGTTTTAGAAATGTGCCAAGAAGTGTTCTAATGAAGCAGCACCTGGGGGTTAATAAATGATATCATGAATCCATTCTGATTGCCAAGAAAGATTTTAATAAAGGAAGCCATGCCCAGGGTTGACTGTTTCATCCATGAGGAATAATTGTTTTGTTTCCATATTTCTTTTATTGGTTGGTTAAAACAAGTTTGCATTTTAGCATCAAGTCATTTTTGGTTGTTCTGCATGTTTCTGTACCATTTGCACAAAGACCTGGCCCTCAGTCTGCTGATTGTAGGAGGTGTTATTTTGATGGCATGGAGACCTTGCATCTTTTACTGCCTTTTACATTTATCTCGTTCTTCTGATCTTTCTTCTCTTCCCCTCAAACATTCAGGGTGAAGTGAAGTCTGAAGAGGGGCCAGAATGGAATATACTGCGTGATGACTTCATGATGGGAGCATCTATGAAGGACTGGGATAAGGAAAGTGATGGAGAGGGCAACAATGAAGAAGGAGGTGGTCTGAAACAAGAAGAAGACAGTGACTGAATGAAACTGAAAACCATTCAAGATAATGTTTTATCTTCTTAAGTTTGTTTGGATAAAAAGTCAACATTCTATGAATGTACAACACTTGGAGGATACCTCTTTTAAAAAAGAAAAAAAAAAGACTTACAGAACCTTGGAGTGTTTTCTCCTCCATGTCAAACTTTTATTTAATATAGCTCCATTTGCTATACTGAAATCCTGAAATATTTTCCAAAACAAGTATAATTTTCAACATATTTCCAAAACATTTTGTGCAGTCAAAATAGTGGCACTTGCCCAATGAAAGATAGATTTTGCCAAGGTCATTAAAAGTTTACACATTAGTCATGGCAATTGATGTATTAGTGTGCCTGCATTTCCAAATCATTGCTGCACTTTGAAAAATTGTTGCAATTTGCAATAGAAATGACTTACAATAAACACAGAAATGCTGTCACCTTGTAAAGTTATTGGACTCCTATAGAGTCTTTACTACTTTGGCCAGAAAAGGTTCTGTAGATAATGAAGGAAAGTAACCATTAACGTGATAGTTCTGGTCTTGGAGCATTAGTTTGATTGGAGACAGCTCTGGAAATAGAATTGTAAAGGCAGAGACTTGACCCTACTGATAGGGTTTAGTATTTATATATGTATATATATGGTTTTTCCATTGCAAGTCTGAGATTGTATAAGCTAAGAGTCTGGTAGGAGAGGAATGGACAGTCATTGCCATTGGTTTCACTGGGGAGGGAGAGCATTTCTAAAAATTCCACAGAAAATGGTGTTCATTGTTGTTTCATTTGCAGTTGTGGTGTTCTGGCCTTTTTCAGTGAGGAGCTGGAGCTCTGAGATTCATCCTGTGGGTTTAGTCAGATCTTATGCTAATTCCTCAGGTGTGCAAAGGGTCAAACCAGAGCCCTTCCCCTCAGTGTGGGCCATAACAGTAACAAATTTGGAAGTAATCTGTCAGGATAACACAATTGCTTTTCTTTAAGCTACAGCAATTTCTCCTCAGTAGTTGTTGGCTGCAGAGGTGCGGAAGCCAATACACACAATAATAATATGTTTTATGTAAGCATGTGCATACAGAAGGAATTGTGTGGTGATAAGGGTGTTCTAAATGAGAGGCTGGTGTTGAATTCTGCTGCCTTTGCTGTTCCAGACTGACTGTCTGATGCTGTGTAATTTGTTGAACTTTGCTATCACGTTTCCCCATTTGCTATGTGAAGAAAAAGCCTTGGGGCCCATTAATTGATAGCTAAAATACATAGTACTGTTCTGTCCATTGCTACAGATGCCTTGCAGACAAACCTTTCTTTGTACCTGCTTAAAGGCAAGATATGATTAGGAACAACTGTGAAATTTTCAGTCTTCAGCATGGAAATGTGCAGTAGGATTTCGATTTTCCTAACAAAGGCATTGTTTGAACTTTGTGTGCACTGCAGGTTAAAAAATATGGTTACAAAATGGCAGAGAAACCCATCCCAACAACTGGCAATCATTGTCTTATCCCTAGCCTGTTCATCTGGTATATATTGTAGCATAATTCTTCCAGGAGAACTCCAAGCTAACAGCAGAAATGTTTAGATTTTCAAGTTGTTTTGAGTGTTAAACGTATTAGATATCTGAGGAGACATTTGTTTGTGGCCTGTTATTTATTATCACAAATGAAGGCATACACCCAAAATACCAAGTGGCAAAACCACAGAAGTTTGACATATGGTTATCCCAGCTTCTGAAGGCTTGACATCTGTACAGCTGTGCACTAAGAGTCACCATCTCACCAGTGCAGTGCAGAAACGTGCTGCAATGGGGCTTGAGCCCATGAAGCAGCATAACATTCTAACCTGGCACTGCTCTCTCTCTACAGAGTTCAGCTGCTTTCTGTGGAAAAATGACATCAGCACCCTTAAATCTACAGTTGTTCTCTAGTTTCATATCAGCGGTTTCTTTCCATAATCAAACTTCTGGAAAATAATCTTAAGTTTTCCTTAGGAACTGTGACATCATGAGGTGATTATTAAAAATTTCAGAATGCTTTCCAAATACTTTTAAAATACTTGGGTGTTTATTTGTGCATTTTTGGAGTAATATTTGGAATGAAGCACTGAAGTGTCTCATGTGTGCTTAAGAAAAATACGGAATCTGTCAATATTCCTAAAGGTATTTTGAGCTTCCATTTCATTTACAGTCCATAGGCTATATGGGGAGAGCATTTATTGCCTTTTAAAAGGCACAGTACTTACATTTTTATGTATATTGAGTAGTTATTTAAACTTTGTACTTTTTGCCTTGTCCTTTTTTGTGCTATATGCCGAGGAGCTACGAGAGTTGCTGAAATTGCTAACTACATATTTTGATTTTAGGCTGCTTTATTTCACAAGTTCTGTTTTTGTTGACTAGAAGTTCAAAAGATCTTCTTTGGTCCAGGCATCTTCCAGTCTCTTCTCTGGGCTGCCCCACCCCCTTTTTCAGTAATGTTCTTCCTCTTCAACAGCTACCAACAACCTTCAGCAGCTTTTCCCAGCAGAGTGCTCGCTCTGTTTTTCCTGCTCCCATGAATATCTCTGCACAAGCAAAGCTGTGCTGCTGCCCTTCATTCCAGAGAGCATGAATCATCTCAACTTTGTATATTTCTGTACCTATCTATATAAAGCCAATAAGGATGGGGTGGTTCCAGTTTTGTTAGGCTTCAAGCCAACTCCAGAGTATGTAAAGTTTAATATTCTATGGATTGCACGCAAAGCAGGAGTTTTGCTTAATAAGAGAAGGCACAGGGTCAGCTCTTCCCCATGTCTCCTGTCCCCTGTTCTAATTTGTCTTCACATTAATTGTGCTAACTTTTTTACAGCAAGGAAAGCATGAGTTGGCCTATGGAAAAAAATAACTGTCTTGACCCTGCTTTTGTTTAGACTCCTGGTAGGGAGACACTTTGGGAGTGGTGATGGAATATCCTTGTTGTGCCTGATGCCACTATACCAAAGCATCTTCTCTGCTGAAACCTGGAGGGAAGAGCTCCCACTTCTGCAGCTGTGAAGCAGATTCTCCTGGGTTTACAAGCTGAGCAGAACAGAAGAGCTGGAAGCTGCTTCCTAGTGAAGATAGGGCTTTTTTGTCTGATTTGTTTTAAAGAGAGAAATTAATTGTTTGGAGGCCATAAAAGTTTTTTGACTATCTGATGCTTCCAGAAGAAGGTGGTCTGTAGAGCTGCATCTGTTCAGAGCTGGCTCAGTAGCTGTCTCCAGGGAGGAAGGCAGAAGTCATCTGGCACAAAACACTCTGCACAACTGAAAATGACAAGCTTCTCATTCTTATGAAATGAGTCCTGGCACAGTTAATATACACACAGAGCAGTCATCAGTGTTGTTCACTTCCAATCCCTGCAAATTGCTCAATGATTTCTTCAAGACTTGCTGAGGTAAGGAGTGAGAGGGCCAGGAGAAGGCTTGAGGTAGTGGAGGCTCAGGATCATGTTACACAGATTGGGTCCTTGTGCTAAATAAGATGTTAAACTCAGGAGTCTAAGACCTCAGACACTGGAGACTGGAGAAGTTCTTGATTAACAGATGGTGGAAGACTGTATATTTATTGCTGTTCTAAAGCAGGGGCTTCTAACCTTTTGCAGTATGTAAGCCTCCAGTGTTTCACCTCTGTAAGTGATCTAGCAGATAAGGGCTTTTTCTTAACCATTCCTCTTCAGACTTTTAGCAGTGGCTGATCCTTCTTAGACAAAGCATTTGTTTTCAAATGCTTTTTTTCAATTGCTTTTCTTTCTTAAGGGACATGTTAAAAATGAAACTCCAGTCAAACCGAATACCTTCAACACAAAAGGTCCTTGTGTTTGTGTAACGCTCCATCCCTTGAAATTACTTATTTTTGCTTAAATCCAGGTGTTTAACCTGTTGCATGCAAAATTGTCAAGTTAATTAGGGTACTTTCATCAAGCTTTTGGATGTGAGCTCATGAGCACAAGCAGTTTCCAACAGGTACTTTGGAAGGTTATTTTAGCAATACTCATAAAAAGCATTATTTCTTCACAATGCTACAGTTGGGTCAATAGCCCATTCTCTCATGCCAATGCATGAACTTTTGGAGCATCATTTTCCAACATTTTCCTTGTGTTTCTTCACTCTGTTTTCAGTAAATGTGGTGATGTTAATTGTGAACTGCTAACCAGGATCAGACTTGCATTGAGGTTTTCATACCACTAGGATTTCTTACAGACATAGTGTTCTCAGAAGGAGCTGAATAATTAATAGAAACAGTTCACTTGCAAGATAAGCTGGTTACATTTCTTATCGAAACTGCATGCCATAATTAAGAAATTGTTAAATATCAAATCTGCTGGTGTTATGTTAATAGTTCTTAAGGTCAATGTGTTGTAGGCATATGTGATCATAAGAAGAAGGTAACAGGGGGTTGTTTGCCATAATTTTAAAATCTGAAGTACTTACAGATTCAACTAGCTGCTTATGAGCCCATTATAAAGTGTGTTATGAATGTAATTGTGGAGACTGTGACTTAAGGCCCGTGGTTATTCAATCATTCTCTTGCTTTGAACTTTGCTTTTCTATCCTGATAAAGGAGGACATTCTCATCTTATGCAGAACAGAGAAGCTTAAATGTGTTGCTTGATTCAAGCAACAGGATGGTGACAGATTATGTGGATTTTGCATGGACTTTCAGTTTGAGTACAGTTTTATCTCAAGAGGATTTTCTTTGGGTTTTAAGTGACCCATAAATTGCAAGTTTTGTGGACAGTAAAGCAGCCTTTCACTTAGGGTGCCCTATGTCCAGAGACAAGAGCTGGCCTGTGTCCATTTCAGGAAGGGTGCCTGAGGTCAGGCAGCTGAATGAAAACTGTCACTGGAGAGCTGGGCCCCTGAGCTGTTGGTAATTGAGCCTTTGCCATACCTGTCCATGGCACCTTCCCAGTCACACCTCGCAGGGCTGCTTGGAGAAGGGCAGTCAAACACAAACACTGTCAGTCTTTGCACCACAGGCTGCTCTGCATCCTCACTTGCAACCCCGACGAGTTTCAAAAGAGGCTCACATTGCACTGTAGTGCAATATTGCTGCAATAGTGTGGTTTTGTACAAAAGATAACAACAGTTACCGGTGTGGTTTTGTATATGGTGGATTTTTAGAGGAGTGAAGTATTTAACAGTACCTGCTGAAATTTGGGACATCCGTACGAAAGAAATACTCCTTAATTAAGAAAAGTTATAAAATGATGAAGTGCCTCTTCGTGATTAAAAGAAAAAGACTGAAGATTTTCCAGAACCACCAGACAAGATCCTCAATTTAAGGATGCATTACTCAGCCAAAACAATGTATCGGACCCAAGTGTGAAGATTGCTCATGGGGAGGATGATACATTGATACTCTTTGTTGTGGATTGTGTTAGAAAGGGACCAGTCAGCCCTTTCAGCATGCTGAACATCTTTCTGATGTTGTAGCACCGCAACCA